CCTTATGGAGACTCACTGCTGGAGCCTCTAGTGGCCGTTAGAGGAACTGCAGATGTGAGTGGTTTAATCCAGCTGTGGTTCAGAAACAGCTGGTTTAATAATCAAACTTAAAACATATCCAGGAGGTTCATCAATAACTGGATAGGTTTGTCCTCCATCATTTTATATTTAATATATATTTAATCTTCTATTCAACAGTAACAGCAGAGAACAGCTGATAAACTGTAAACAGTGATCTCAATATATATATATGAGCACAGATTAGTTTTCCTGTTATTTTTATACATTCTGTCTGTATTATGTATTTTTTATCATTTCTAACAATCATACAGACTTAATATTCTTTTCTGACAGATTCACTGTTTTCCTCTCGTTGTTCTGTCAGCTCTTTGGTTGTTTCCTGATGCAGGACGAGGCTGTTGACCAGAGACTGAAGGCTCTGTCAATATAACTTCTGTTTAGATCTTTAACGTTTAGATCTTAATTAATAATCTAGACTTTAGAAATAACAATATAATTCAGTTTTAGTTGAGATTTAGACCGACTGTATATGTTTTCTTACCCTTTTTAACCCTTAAAAGCCTGTGAATCTTTGGCGACCCCTAGTGGCGGACACAACCCCTAACTTGGAAACCACTGTCCTACAGCAGCACTACAATAATATATCAGCTGAGTGCATTAATAAGGGAATTAAAGCAGATACTTAGAAGTACTTTACCTAGTAACTTATTACTTTTAAGTAATTCAGTTATTTTTGAGACAGTAACTGTCAGGATGCACAATATGGATTCTTTTTCAGCCAATACGATAACTGATCATTATTCTGAATCCTGATGGAAAGAAAGGAGCAAAGACAGACAGTTTAATATTCCACAGCTCTCAGCTTCATTGTTTACTACAACAACAACAACAAACAATTCATTTATTGTTTCTACTGAAACTTCACAAACATAAAGCTTATCAATCGTTTTGCATATAAAGTCAAGATCAATTATTAGTATTATTATTATCATAATTCTGGCCGATAATTAATCAGCTGTAATGTAATTATCCTGATAATTCATTAAACTATAAATTTCCCATCTGATAATTATCGTGCATCCATAGTAACTGTAACTAATGACAGTAACTTATTGTCCCCCTAGTGGCAGAAAGTACACATTACAACATTAAGAGTTAATATCTGGAGCCGATGTTAGACCTTCAGATCCACAGCTCTCTTTGTTTCTGTTGACATCGTGATGATGTTTGGAAGTTGTCGACATCCATTTCCTCCTGAAACTGCACAGCGGCGCTTTAAATCACAATATTTGCTCCTGCAACCGACTCCGTTTTATTAATGAATGCTGTAATGGCTTCCTCATCAATTAATACAAACCTCGTCGATGCCACCAGCGCTCACAGAGGACGCAGACGACCTCTGACCCTGAGTGGATCTCCCAGTGGACCACCTCTTCCTCCCCTCCTGGGCCGAGTCAAGGGCATGCATGGATACCCCCCCACCACCTCCCTTCCTCCCTCCCTACCTCCCTTCCTCCTCCTCCTCAGGGTCACTGGGACACGATCTCATTAAAGGCGGCCTGATCTGCAACTGCAATGCAGACATTAAATAGCAGTATTTTTCAATTAGGGCTGACAAATTCAATCAAAATTCCATAGATTAGGATGAAATGAGGCATGGGTCATTTACAAGGGAATTTAATTGCACGGCCATTAGACAAATAGTACAGCAGTCTCTGTCTCATTATCAATCATGCGGGGGCATCAATAGTAAAAGGTTGTAAGGCAGGGGAGGGGGCAACGGGGTGTATGAGTGTAAGTGTCCGTGCACGGGGAGCGTGCCCGTTAGAGCGCTGCCACCACCGCAGAGCAGCTAATAAATATCCTCTTTTGTACTTATAAATTATCCAGTTTAATTAACAACATGGATTATGATTGGACTATGATTTAATTAAACCTTTCCTGCATGCAAGCCGAGCGCTGCGATCATCCATTATGAGCTGGGGGGGAAAGGGGAAGGAGGCGAGAGGGGGGTGAAGGCATGTGGTGGTTTGTGAGGTGAGGGAGGGTGTGTGGGGGGGGCCAGTTGGAGTTGGTGCACTAATGAAGCTTCTCTAATAGGAGCTGCTATACCTGGTAGGATCATCGTCGCTGCAACAAGCGGCGATAAAATAGGCCAGCCGAATGGCTGATGGAGCGTTTTACCGGAAGAATAGAAACCCAGGACCCATTTATAAAAAGAGAAAAGAATATCCTGAATACCAAACCTCTACTACCGGCCCCCTCCCTCCTCCCCTTGTATTTAAATCTAAAGCTAAATGGCACAATCTCCCAGCAGTTTGCTGATTGGTGAACCGTCGCGTGCTGTAAATGGAGGGGATTGTGGCGGGAAAGCCATTTGAATATATGAAGAGCTGCAGCTGAGAGCAAGGCGAGTTCGGGTGGTGGGCAGCACAGACGCCCTGACGGGCGGACTGCGGTTGAAGGGGAAGTCGCCCGAGCGCCAAAATTGTCAGCTCGACAACGATTCAGTCCAGAGCGGAGCGCGTGGCGGTATCAACTTTTTCATCAGCCTCACTAAATGCCAGGCCGCATTTACTTTACACCAACCCAATACGAGCTGGGAAAAAAAAACCTCCATGAAAGACATTTAATGAAATAAGTCGAGCAAACTGATGCTCGCTGAATTTAAAAGTCACAAAAAGACGAGGTGAAGAAGGTGCGGAGACGTTTACTGTCTCCGCATCAAAATAAAGAGTTTCAGGATAAAAAAGTTCCAACAGCAGAGACGCAGTCAGACGGACGCAGTAAGTCCCTCCAGGATTTGGCGGGCTTTTTTTGGGGGGAGTGGTTGAGGCCTAAAACGATTTCACTGCAGCTTTTCTAAAATAAATGTAAACATGTTGTGATGTTTTTAGTTGCAATGAGCCGCCTGAGGTCGATTTAGGTTGATCTACTGGGTTTTTTTCTGTTAGATCACAACCTGTGTCCTGAACAGTCAACAATATAAGTACATTACAAGTGTTTCTTCACCTGTGTGGATGAAGCAAACAGCACAGAAGCGACACCCACATGTGCTCGAGCTCTCATTGGTCAGCTGAGATGCGATCGAGATGTTTTGGTTTCCTTTGTGAAGATCCATCTTTATCAGTTTTTCTTTTTTCCAGGTCTGTGACGCAGAGAGACTCTCCAGGAACTGTGAACGCTCTGGATTACAACCTGTGGTGAGTAAAATGTTAATTTCTTATGGTCCCAGAGGAACATCGATATCAGAAACATAAGAACATAAGAACATAACGAGGATAAAACACAACATGCAGTTTAAAATGCAGCAGCTACAAACACCAGACTGAGCTGTTGTGCTTTTGTCCCAAAGCTCAGATCAATTAACATTTAGAGCACCGATTGGATTTTTGATTATCAGAGCTGAAAGGGACTCGATTGATTGGCCGCTGAGGTCGCCCCCTGCCCTGACGATGGCGGATCCAATGAGGGAGGAGGCCTGATGGGGATTGAGTTTCTTAAGTATCTTCTGGCAGCAAGCAGGGTTAGTATTGATTGTAACACTGCAGAAAACCTCCGTCCAAACAAGTCATTTAATTTCCGTATCGAGCCCCTAAAAAAAATCCGATTTTTCTGAAGTCAAGTGGAAAGATTGTACCGGTGGGGTCGTAAATTGTCACATTCAGAAATATTTTCTACAAGTACAATGTGAAAGAAATATATTAAAAAGAAATAAAACCCAAAAAGTCCAGATTCGTAGTCAGTTTAGCTACCAGATGCTGCGTTCAAGTTCCTTTAGGAAAGAGCCAGAAATGGTCTGAGATAGTGTCCCATCCTGATGGAATAAAAGTGTGTTTATATATATATATATATATATATATATAATAAAATGTATCATTACATAGGACTTTAAAGAGTTTAGCTTGATACCTAACTCAGTTTATGCTAAAAGGTTAAAGCCGTCCTCAGTATAGTGTATGCTTAGAGTTAACTTGGACCTTCGTACAAACAAGCGTACGTTAGATCTGTTGATTTTTTT